ATATATATATATAGATATATAAAATATACCAACATAGTCACGTGTGACCCCCGCTGACACCTGTGAGCCTATATAATCATGTGACAACGACAGCAACAGTCCCTTAATCTTCTGGTGAAAACACAATGATTCTGAGCGCTCTGGCAGTCATCCGGTATTCATAGAACCGTAGTTGCAGTCGTAACTTTTGTTCTATTTCATCCCTACTGACCGCCAGAGGTGGTGCTTAAAGCACAGATCACAATTACCAACAGAGTCATGAGGAATCACATACAGAAAATAAACAACCCGAAAACATGCCCACCTCACTGGGAAGACGGTGTGCGCCGGGATAGGATTCCCTCCATTGGGTGAAAGGCGGCCAAGTTAACCCTGTAAAACCTAGCAAAAATATTCGGGGATGACCAAGAGGCTGCTGAACAAATAGCATCCAGAGTGACACCAGTCATACGAGCCCATGACACACTAACGCCCCTGGTGGAATGGCACCACACACCAGCGGGGGTTTGCGGCCCTGCAGAAAGTAGGTCTATGTGATTGAGCAAGGTGTGCGTGCCTGCAGTGGCTTGGGTTTCTGTGGGTGCACAGATGAGCCAGTCGTCCAAATAAGGCAGGATCTTCAATCCATTGGCCTGCAGAGGACACAAGGCTGCGGCCATGCTCCGCTTGAACACATGCAGGGACAGGGAGAGGTCGAATGGAAGAACTCTGAACTGAAAATGCTTGCCCTGAAATGCAAAGCGGAGAAACTGACAATGTTATGGTGCAATTGGGACATGAAAATATGCGTCCCTCAAGTCGACCAAGGTGAACCAGCCGCCTGGGGAGCTTGCCTGAAGCACATCTCTGTTGCTAAACAGTCTCCCAGCCTTTTACGGGACTAAAAAATACTTTGAGTAAAAGCCCCCTGGATCCCGCAGGGGGTCGACAGGCAATATAGAACCCTTGGCCAGCAATGTGTCAATCTCTTGGCTCAGAGCCTGATCCTTTAGCTGGTCGTGAATTACTGTCGACCGGGGAAAGGAGGGCAGCGGTGGAACTATAGCACATAACCCTGGGTAAGTGTAAACACCACCCATGGATCGGTAACAAGAGCGGCCCAGCAACCGAGCTGGTCCGAGGTAAAGTGTCCCACCGCCCAGTGATGTCATCTTCAAGCCCCCTGCCCTTAGGGGGGCGGGAGAGTTGCCAAGTGGCCCGCCTTGGTTGAGAAGCAACATGAGCCCGACCTCTGGGTGGATCCCACTGGCTATGGGCAGCCATGGGCAGGCTGCCCCAAGTAGGGTGTAGTCTGGGCAGGATAAGTGCGCCATAGAGACACAGAGGCACTACCAGCAGAACGCTGCACTTGTCTGCGATGAAGGCCGGCCAACTGCTATCTGGTACGCGAAGCCTGGGCCGACCGCTCCAGGGCTGCAACTCTCCAGGAACCACTGGAAGGCCCATCGTCCTTCTACACGCCTCCGTTAGAGGAGACTAAGCCAGCCAAACCTGGCGACGTGCCTGAACAAGGGTAGACAGTACACGTCCAATTTCCTTAGACAGAAGAGCAAACGCATGGAGAGATGAGTCCTTGAGTAGGTGACTCGATTTCAACACCCTCCAAAGAAGCTGAGAGACCCAGCAATAAATGCGACAGGGAATTACCAAGTTGCCCCAAACGAGACCTAGAGTCATAGGCTCTATCACTAGAAGTCCCGGAGAATTCCAGTTTTCCTGCAAGCCCCCTGCCCTACTTCAAGTTTGTGTATTCACTCTACTTTGCTAACTGTCCTTGTTGTAATGCAAATAACCTTTGATATGACCAGCTCTTCTACATGACACTGGATAAAGGCTGAAACAAACTGGCATCAAAACAAGAGCATGCTCCAAACACTTTTCATTACCTGCTCCTGCAACATCATCCTTTTTGCAAGAATATCTTGATAAGTCATAACTAAATCTTTTAATTAGGCAAACCTATTAAACAACCAGATATCATAGGGGTCCTAGTTTCTGAGCTGGGAACAGGTCATAACACTGCATTTCCAACAAGGCAAGGCAGTGCCTATTTATATTGTCCATTCACCAACAGACTAATTTCTATTGCAAAGCCCACTATGTGAAAGAAAGAACAACTCAGAGAATAATTGTATTTTGTCTTGTCTCACCTTTTCATGCCATTCAACATTTCAGCTTAGAAAATGACAGTATGAAACAGTATGATCTCAGTATTGGAGTAACATTTATTTCACCCAAGGAAAAGCACTACATATGAAGCTACAATTGTCCCATTCACAAACCCAATGTGAGTCCTTCCTGCATTTGTGACAGGAAGGACAAGAAATCTGGGATTTCCAGTGCCATAGAGCAGATCATCAGTGACACGACACTGAGGACGAGGACACCTGGCATTAGCTCTCAAAGCCTAATCAGGCACCACAATGAGGGAAGCTATGGCCGGCTCAACAGAAGGCATATGGCCCAAGCAAAAATTGGGCTCATCTTGCATGGCCACCAGTGCTCTGTCAGCAGAGGTCAGCCTCGAAAAGGCCTTAGTGTACGCCCAACAGGAATGGACCTCCTTCACATACTTTGCAGATGGGG